AAATCTTCACCCAAATCAAAATAAAATTAAAAAAAAAAAAAGAAAATGGTAATTACCTAGTAACTATCTTGTCACAATTGTATCTCATAAAAATCTAGTATTGCAATTAGCTCTCTGTTCATTACTATGTCATTTGTAAAGCTAAAGTATTTGCATAATGTACATTCTATGGTACCTCTTTCCTTCCTGTGAAATTTGGACATTATTTTCCTGAAGCAACAGATTATTTTATGGTTTTAATGCAGAGATGAAGGACAGTTTATTTGAACATTTCTTGCTTTACAAGTATTATTAATACTTGCCCTAAAGGCTAAAATCAGAATTGTAGAGAGTTTGTGTATTCTTTTTGAGATTTCTCTAATAGAGATCTGCTGAAACAGTTCCTGCGGTGGTTGTTAAGTGCCACTGAGTCAATTTTCAACTCCTATCAACACCATGCGGAGAGTAGAACTACTCCGTAGGGTTTCCTAGGCAATCTTAAAGTAAGGAGACTGCCAGCTCTTTTCCTGCAGAGTCTCTGGGCGGATTCAAACTGCCAACCTTTTGGTTAGCAGCTGAATGCTTAACCATTGTGCCACCAGAGCTTCTTTGAAATGGTCTTAGGGAAGTATAATAGCCTAATTATCTCAAAATCATTGGGCAATCAATAAAAGTACTGAATTGGTAGTCCGAACACTTGAGTTTGAATTTTCAATCTCTTACTTGCTGAATTGTGATATTTATTTAATATCTTTGTGCCTCACTTTCCCCGTATTTATAAATAGAGATAACAGCTCTTCTTTCTTACTCATAGGAGTCCCTGGGTGGCAAAAATCATTTAAGTGTTAGACTACAAACTAAAAGGTTGGTGGTTCAAACCCATTGACAGGAACTTTGGAAGCAAGGCCTGGCAATCTGCTTCTGAAAGGTTAAAGCCTTGAAAACCCTATGGAGCAGCTCTATTCTACAATATATGGGGTTGCCATAAGTTGGAATCAACTTGATGGCATTTTTTTTTTTTTTTAGTATCTTCCTTATAAAATTATTATGAGAAAAAATTAAAATACAAATTTTCAAGGAACATGCAAATGTTAGTCATTAGAAGTTCTTTTTTTGTTTTTCTAATATAATATTAACATTCATAGTAAACAATAACAAAAAGGTTTCAGAAACTACTATGTAAACTACATGAATTTCTTAATAGGAAAATGCCTACAGAGTTGGCTTGAAAAATCACTCTATTGATTTTCTCACAGATGAACTACTTAGGTGTAAATGTCAAAGCAAATCTCTCCAGAGTCTGCAGGATATCTGGAGTTATTAATTAATTAAGTCAAGCCCTCCTTTTGTTATTTAACCTCCAGAGGACCAGAGAGGTCTTCCCTTTTCTTAATTTAGATATGTGGGAAATAGAAATCTTGCCTCTCATGAATGTCTGCTCTGTTGTCATCAATATAGTAATCTTGTGGACAGGCTGGATGGGCCTCTGGGTTTGAAATTTTACTTCTTCTCCAGGTCCTGGTTTAATTTGTAGTTTCTGGAATCTTGATCAGCTTATCTGCAAGTCCCCTTTGCCACAGAGAAACAGATTCATTGGCAGAGAGCCTGATAATGCATTCAAAAACCATTTGTTAGTTTATGGGTAAGAATGTTGTAAACTTATCTGCATAATATTAACTAATCAAGTCAAGCCCTCTTTTCAGCCATCCTTGTGTTTGCAGTTCCTAAAGGCTTTTGTGTTAATTATCTCATATGGGGACTTAATGCATGACTATTAAACAAAATGACCTAATTTATTTCTAAACTGTTTCTTTATTTATGAAATAGAAAAATACCAAAAAGTTCAAGACAGAACAGGACACCATAATCCTAGATGTCAAAAACAACATACTGTTAACAGTTCTGGGTATTTTCTTCCTGCCTTTCCTATGTATGTTTATATAGGTGAGCTCATCTGCCATTAAGTGCTAAATTTTTTTAGTTTTTGGTTATGATAGAAATCTATGCCTTCTGCAGAAACTTTGAAAAAGTTGTAAAAAACAGCAAGTCTAAAGGGAAGAATGAAAACCACGTATTACTTTATTGTAATTAACCACCATGAGCATTTTTGTGAATTTTCTCCTGATATTTTACTCTCATCTTTTTCTTAGGATGTAATTGGGATCATACCAAGTAGAAGTGCTTAGGGGACACTCTCTCCAGACTAGTGAACAGGACGCTGCTGATCAGCACTCTTTTTCCTGGACAGGAGTGGTGGTGGTTGTGCGCCATCAAGTCGTTTCCGACTCAGTGACCCTATGTGACAAAGTAGGAGTTAATATTTTCCTTTAAAGCTTATTTGTTCAGTATTCTAAGCACACTCATACATTGTTTTTTTTTTTTCTTGCACCGATGCCGAACACCTTCAAGGCCCACCCACACCTGCCTACATTCACCAGGTTATCCTTGACGATATCCGCGGCATTTCACATCCGCTTACCGAAGGACATCCCCTGTCGTTCTCCCTGCCCCCGACTTCACTTTCTGTGATGACTGAGGAGGTGGTGGAGGCCACTCGTGTGAAGCTTCAAAGGCAATTTTAAACTTGAGCATCAGAGCCAGAGCCCTCGCAAGGTCCGGCGCCACCTGGTCAGGAGCGCCCCGGGGCCACACCCGGAGACTCTGCACACCCCGTGGAAGGGTCAGAACTGAAGAAGGCATTCGTGACTGCTCAGACCCCTGTCCCACGAGAGGCGGCCTCTAGCAAGGGGCCGGGATACAGAGGCCAGCCCTTCTTCGCCCCTCGTAAGGTTAACAGAGCATCTTTACTTGTGGCTCCGAGTTTCCCATTCTATGCTCTCGGGCGGAACTTTTCTTATCGCGAGAAGGCTGCTAGGCCCCAGGCCCGCTCTCCGCCTCCAGGGAGAAACGGACAGAGCCCGCTGTCGCAAAGTACCGTGGCACCCAGTGGCCAGCAGCCGGGCCTGATCTTCGCGTCGCTTTGCGAGTTGGGAGAAATGCGTCCCTTCTCGCTTGCCTTAAGCCTGGCGAGGCGGGGATCGCACTATCGTGCTGCCTGCCACCGAGAGGGAGGGGGGAACGCTCACGTGCGTCCCTCTATATTCCAGCCTGCAGCATCAGCTCCGGAGAAACCAACGCTAAGACTACCACAGTCGGCTTTACATTGCCCTGGGAGTCCATACAGGAGGAAGGAACGAATATCCGCGCCAACTAGGCAGTAGACCTTTCCTTTCCTCCCCCTTAGTTCGCCTGGACCGCTCCGGCCTGAAGCGCTCGTTAGCCGCAGACAAGCTTCACCAGACTTTTGACAATTCGGCGGGAGCATCTCGAAGACATAAACCTAGGCTCAGGGGGCGGGGCGAGGAGGGGCGGAGCGAGCTCATGCTGGGCGGGGCGTGCGCGAGCCTGGGCTCCAGGAGGGAGCGCGCGAGCGAAACCGAGCAGACCCGAGTCCAGCCGAGCTGAGGCGGGAGGCGCCGCGGAGAGGCAGGAAGAGCCCGGCCGCCTGCCTGCGGCTCAGCGCCGATCGTGCCGCGTCGCCGGGTTCAGCGTACCCCCGCCTTTACCCAGGCTCCGGCAAAACTTTATTCTCTTGGGCCCCGGGGTGTGTGAAGGACACGGAGCGCTGGGCCAGCTCTGGGCTCCCCTGCAGCGGCGGCCAAGGGGACGTGCATCCCTCGCCCACTGGCTCTCGCGCCCCGCGCTTCCTCACCTGCTGCTCGCTCCCTGGAGCCGTAAAGGGGCACCCCCGGAGGGACTGTGCGGGTGCTGGTGCTCCGAACTCTCCTGCCCACCTCAGCGGACCCACCCGGCCGCAACTTTAACTTGATTCTTTTCGCCAAGCCCGGGCACCCGCGGCGGCTGGTGCTGCTGCTGCCGCTGTCGTCTCGACAGCCGCCGCCTCACAAAGGGGCGCAGGGAGGGGAGGCGGCGCAGGCGGCGGGCACGGGCGCCGGTGCGCAGGGCGCGGGCCTCGAAGCAGCAGAAGCCGAGAGACAAAAGGGAAACTGCCTCGGCTCTCGGTGCCTGCTCGGAGCAGCTAGCTCGCCTGCCTCCTGCTCTGTTACGCGCGCCTCTTCCCTCCACCCTCAACCGCTGCTCCACCTCCCTCCCCGCGGGCAGTCCCCGCAGTGTTCCGGGACCCGGAGAGCCTTTGGGGCGCGCATCGCTGCTGGTGGTTGGGGCTCGAGCGATAATAAATGATAGAGGATACAATGACTTTGCTGTCTTTGCTGGGTCGCATCATGCGCTACTTCTTGCTGAGACCCGAGACGCTCTTCCTGCTGTGCATCAGTCTGGCGCTGTGGAGTTACTTCTTCCACACGGACGAGGTGAAGACCATCGTCAAGTCCAGCCGGGACGCCGTGAAGATGGTGAAGGGCAAGGTGGCGGAGATCATGCAGAATGATCGCCTCGGGGGGCTGGACGTGCTAGAGGCCGAGTTTTCCAAGACTTGGGAGTTCAAGAGTCACAACGTAGCTGTGTACTCCATCCAGGGCCGGAGAGACCACATGGAGGACCGCTTTGAAGTTCTTACAGACCTGGCCAACAAGACGCACCCCTCCATCTTTGGGATCTTCGACGGGCACGGGGGCGAGGTAGGACTTCCTCAGGACTTTATTTCTCTCTCTCTCTCTCTCTCTCTCTCTCTCTGTGTGTGTAAACAGTGTGTCGTCTGCGAGGCGGGCTAGGATCTGGATGCTAGGGGCGTGGTGATGACCTGGTGCTGCTCTGGACAAAGCCACTCGTTCCAAGTGTGGCTGAAGTTGCCAAAAACATTGTTGTGTCCAGATCGCTTGGGCCGGCGGTGTGATTTGAGGAAGGGAGAGTCAACCACAGTCTGTTTCATGTTCCTTAATTTATGAGGTTCCTAAGGCCAGAACCCAGCAGGTGCTAGTTTTGCAGGGATTAACCACGAGAATTAATGGTGCCTCCAGTGAACTTTGGCCTCGGGCCTCAGTGCCCCAATTCAGGGTTTGAGGTCCCAAAGAAAGAAGAAAAATCTTTGATGTTCTGTTAGGGAAAAGAGACTAAATCAGTTCGGGTGAAGGAAGCAGTGACTCCTTCCTAACCCTTTCACTATGGGTAGAAACCCAAGGGGCAGCACTGCGCTTCTCCTCAACTCCATCAACTTTGTGTAAGTGCAATTCTGACGTTTGGCAGGAGCGCCTTGCTGGCCGCCTTGTTTTAGCTGAATCGCAGCGCGGGACCGACGTGCCCTTGGCCTTTGCAGAAGAGGTGGCAGTGACCGCAGAGAAGGCGGTGCCCCCGACCTCACCCGTGTCATGGTAGGCATGGGGGCTCAGAAGTCTCCCTGCTTGTAGACTCCTTGGTTTGGGGTTCATCTGCGAGCAGGAAAGGGGGCTAGAAGCCGGTTCAGGTCTCTCTTTCACATTTCTGCGGCACACACTGTTTGCGCTGGGGCTCAGGTTTCCTGGAGGACCAGACGAGGGTTGGCTCCAGTCAGAGGGCATGGGCCCAGGCTGATGGGTGGGAAATGTGGCTCCATCGTCGTGCGCCGCACCAGGCCACCTAATATCTTTCTTAATTTGGCAATTTGTTGTAACAGCGTTTTTTTTGCTGTATACTTTTTGTTTTTTGGGGGGGCGTATATTTTCTTTATGCACCCCAGTCCTGCACCCCCTTGCTCCCGTACAGTTTTACGCCCAACTCTCTTTCAAGCCCTTTCTGGTCTCTGGGTGGAATGAAAGGGTTATCATTCTCTTTCAAACGTTTGCTTGTTTTTTGGCCTTTGTTTTGGGTGAACATTATGAAAGTTCTTAGTTGGTTATGTTTGCTACATCCTGTCTTTGATATAAGGCACTCCACCTACCTAGCCCTCAGCTAATCCTTCCAAAAGAACGAATTTCGCCAGGAATGAGAGACTTAGGAAAATTTATTTGGGGAGCTGTATCAGTTTCTGCTGTTTTCCCTTAACCTGCGCCCTCTTTACCTCCTTTTTGTCTTTGGAATGAAAGTTTCTCATTGTTTTAATTTTGTATCCTCTTAGGTAGTGTGGGTTCCCCTCTATTGGATCACTTGGTAGGTGAAAAACTGTGAAGTTAATGGAGGGAAGATATGCTTCATACTTGGGTAAAATGTACCTGAATGACAAAGTTACCACTATAAAGACTGGTTTGTTTTTTTTTTTTTTGGCTTGAGTTAGAAGGTCTGTATTTTCATTTTGCCTCCAAAACCAAAAAACAAACTCGCTGCTGTCTAGTCACTTCGACTCATAGGGACCCCTCCTTGAGCTTCCCAGGCCGTGTATCTATGGAAGTAGATTGCCCAGCCTTCCTTCCGAGGAGTGGCTGGTGGGTTTGAACCGCCAGCCTTTTGGTTGTAAATTATTTAATAAGCTTATATATATTTATATGAAATTTGTTAACAGATGAGATAATCTGCCTCTAGTCTTAGCACACTTTTATTTTTAACTTAAACGTGTAAATGTTATATTCATCCTCAAAGTTGTGAAACTTTGAGGTTGTGGTTGTCTGGGTGTGCTGTACTGGCATGTTTTGAGCATGTATGTGTAAGTGAATGGGTAATTAAATTTTTTTTTTTTTTTAAAGTTGATTTTCTAAAACCTGAAAGCTGTAGACCTAATTTCAGGTTGAAAAATTTCCAATTATCTTATGGTAAATACCATCCAGAAAAGGGACAAGAGATACTTTTATTTCACTTAAAGTATTTTACATATACATGGCTTTTCATTACATTAGGAAAAAAAAAAAAGAGAGAAGTGATGATCATTGTTAGCCAAACTGTGACATGCTTTTCACTGTGCCTTATGTTAAAAAATGTCTGCTGGTTTCAAAATAATTAATGCTATCAATACTCTTAAAAATAGATTAATTGTTCTCTCTATAATATTTTATAGGGTGCAGCCAGTTCATTTCTTTGAGATTTGTGTTGGGGCAAAATAAAGGAAGTGCTATAAAAGAAGTTACTTAATGGCTATTGAGAGCTATAATAATGAATAATTTTAGGTAATTTCTCTCTTGCTTATTTTTGTGGATCATTAAAGAAAATCCCACCATCTAATTTTTGTCTATTTTTAGTTTAGTTTCTTTAACATTCACCAGATGAGGGTGCCACTGTTTGCTTTTGGTATAAATGATAGTTACCTACTTTCAGAAAAGGCTTCCTTTTTTTATATGTTTTTTGTATATGTACTGTCTGTAGAGTGGTAAAGAAAATAAATGAAGAGTTTAATTTACTTTTAATTATTCAGACTAATAAAGTAGGCTTTAAAAAGCCAAACCAAACCAAAAACCAGACTCAACTGCTGTGGAGTCAGACCCGACTCATAGAGACCCCTCCTTGGGTTTCCGAGGCAGTATCACTACAGAAGTAGATTGCCCCATCTTCCTTCCAAGGAGTGGCTGGTGGGTTTGAACTGCCAGTCTTCTGGTTAGCAGTCAAATACTTAGGTACTATGCCACCAGAGCTCCTCTAAAAAGCTAGAGACCATCTAAATCATGGGGACCTGAGCCACCTTGTAATCTATTTCATCATATTTTTTAGATGAGAAGCTGATGGCTAGAGAAGTTGTGACTTTACCAAGACAACATGGCTTTTTGAGGCCTTGGTTTGGTAATCTTTATTTTTCTTTCTTTTTATTTATTTATGGTAGTTTAGGTGAAAGTTTACAGAGATTAGTTTCCATTCGACAATATATACACATTTTATTTCGTGATATTTGTTGGAGTCACTTTACATTAACAGCACTCTTCCCACTTCTTCCCTGGTTTCCCGGTTTCCATTCATCCTTCTTGCTTGCTTCTTCATGCTTTCTGAGCTTTGTTTTGGGCAAGTGCTGTGCCCTTTTGGTCTTGGATGTTTGATTGTACTGAGGAGTACATTCCTCTCTGGTGTTACCATTTACTTTATAAGGCTGCCTATTGTTTGGCTGAATGTTGACCCTTGGGGGTGGGTTCTGTTCCAGGCTTGAAGGGTGTCTAAGGGCCACAGTTTTGTGGTTTCCACCAGTCTCTATCAGAGCAGTAAGCCTGGTCTCTTTTTTATTTTGAATTTTGTTCTACATTTTATTCCCCCTCTCTCTGTCTAGGACCTTATACTGGGATCTAAGGAGAGCAGTCGGTAGTGGCAGCTGGGCACCATCTAGCTCTTCTGGTCTCAGGGTAGTGAAAACTGTGGTTGACACGGTCCATTAGTCCTGTGGTGATCTTTATATTAAACCTTTGGAAAATTAGTTTGCACACTTACCTAGATAGATAGCACTCTGGGGATATAAGGATGAATGAGATATGACCTTCATTTTTGAAAAATTTCACTCTAGTAATAGAGACAAGACCTGGATATAAAAAATTACAGTCATGGTATGTTTAGGGTGTTATGGGAACATACAAATAAATGCTTACTGCCATTGAGTTGATTCTGACTTACAGCAACCCCTATAGGGTTTCCAAGGCTGTAAATCTTTATGGAAGCCAATTGCCTCATCTTTCTTCCATGAAGTGGCTGGGGCACTTGAACCTCCGACCTTTTTGTTAGTAGCCCAGAACCTTAATCACTGTACCACAAGAGGTCCTTTATGAGAACACAGGGGAGGGATATTTCAGACTAAGAGGTGGGCAGCCCAGGAAAAAAAATCTGGTTTACCTTATACTAGCTGTATGACCTTGGACACATTGCTTAATCATGTTTAATCTAGGAATTTCTTTATCTGAAAAATTGGGATAATAATGCATATAAGGTACACTCTCATCAGTTGTATTAACTCTATTTAAGGACTTAAGGGAGAAAAGTACATGAAAGAAGAAAGCTCAGAGAGCTAGAAATCTGAACAGTGTCCAAGAGAGATTGTACATACAGACATCACAACTTTGATCACTGAAAGAGGTGTATGTTGGGCAGGGATAATTCATTAACTATCCCCAAAACTTTTAATCTGTTATTGTTCTAACTTCTGGTGCATTTCTGATTATTAATTCAGGATTCCAGGTATCCTGGCACTGGGAAAGTATTATCCTGGCTTCAAGTGGAAATTTTCTTATTAATGAAAAGAAATATTATCTATGTTTAATTAATAAA